GTATGATGGTCAGAAAAAGAAAGTTTGAAATGCAACTTTGAAAGCAGTGAAAATAACCACAAAGCTCTGCAGTCCAGGGTTGAGATGGGCACACATGAGCCCTGAGAAGGTCCCTGAGCAGGAACCGGAGAGAAGGCACAGTCTGAGCTCAGTGCCAACCGTTCTGAAAACCAAGGATGCGCTCAGAAGCTTAGAATGGTTTCAATTACTGCAAAGCAGCAAAAAGGACACCACTGATCAGAGTGTCCTTTGAGTGAGAAACTGTAAGAAAGCAGGATTCTGAAAAATCCACCCGGCTCAAATTGAAGCTTCCTTCTAGAGCAGTTTCAGAATTAAAACTTGACCGTTGAAGGAAAAGGAGGTGTATTAAAAGAACAACTGTTGAAGCCATGGGCTATAGATAGAAACGAATCTGTCTGGGGTGAAAGAGGACAGCCAAACTGAACAGGTTGGCCTCAGGAAATGGAAATATTAACAACAGTTAATACTTACTGAGTATTTTCTTTGTGTCTACCACTGTGCTAAGTGCTCTTAATCATTCAATCCACATAACGTTACCTTATAAATTGCTCATTATGTTGGCTCACTGTTCCCATTTTAAATATGAGGAAATTGAGGCTCCCAAAGAGAGAGTAAATAACTTGTCCAAGGACCCAGAGCTAAAAAAGTGGCAAAGCCAGGATTCAAACCCAGGCCACCTGATTCCAGAACACAGGCACTTAACTGTTGGAATGATGCTGACTTTAGCATCCTCAAAAGACCCACTTACAAAACAGACAGCTACTTCGTTTTCATCCTCTTTAGAGCTGTGGAATCTGAAATGTTAATGTTTTCATCATTTACTGATTATTTATAATTACTGTGCCTTTATGTTATTTTCATTTGCACAGTGACTGCTGATAAAATACAGGATGAACTTTCATCAAGATTGTGCTTGTTTTCTAGAAAGCATGCTATCAATTGGAAAAAGTGGATGGAGAGATAGACAGATGGGGTCAAGACTCTGACAAAGAAGCCCAGGAAGTGCCAGCTCACATCCAGGCACCGTCCCCCAACATCTCTCGCTGCAGACGGCTGACATCAGAGGGTTTACTTCTCAGTTTCCTTCATGGAATAGCTGAACGGCAAAGTGCCAGCGAAAAAAACAAAACAGAACAAAAACAGTATCTCATCAAGTTTACAATGACAAGAGGAAAAACTAAAACTTGGCTCCGCTGTTCATAGGTGAATGTGTGCTCAGGCAGGGCAAGTCGCTGGTCTGAGTTTGTGTGATAGGGGTGGAAATTTTTTTTTTTAATAGGAATGGGGGAAAAAAAGATAGTTTGACAAAGGGTAACTCACAAACACAGCTTAGTAGATTTTTTTCAAAGTTAAATGTTTTCAGTCCACAACGGGGAAAACCATCAGTAGCTTACTGCACGTAGGCATCCAACAACGGCTGCCTAAGTACCAGGAGGGCTCAGGGCTCGCCCCTCGCCAAACCACCAATGCCTGCAAAGGACACATTATTCTGAGAGATGGCTGGTCTTGAAAGAGGCGCAGAAGTGCTTTAAAAAAGGGAGGAACTGGGTACAGAGCGCTAAGGAGGCAGAGGCGGGCAGGAGTCTGAGCAGCAGACAGGAGGAGCAGGATGAGGGCGCCTCAGGGCAGAGGCCACTGCAAAACAGATCTGTCTGGAGACTGAGCCCGGGGCCAAACCCCAGGTGAGGAGGGACACTAGCCCACGGGGCCCAGACCCTGAAAAAAGAACTGAAGCGGTCCAGCTGATGGGCACACCTGGCTATAGCCAGAGCAAAAACAGTTTGTCCCTGCAGGAAAGTTTCTCAAACTCCCAATTTCAGTCCACAGGACTGACTAAGACTGAACCATATGCTCACAGATGACAGGTCACCAAATACATAAGAAAGCAATCATAATGACAGTCACAAACTACATATTGAGTCCACAAATTACATATTTGGGGCGTGGGGGAAGTAATTAGGTTTATTTATTTAATGGAGGTGCTGGGGATTGAACCCAGGACCTCATGCCTGCTAGGCATGTGCTCTACCACTGAGCTACACCCTCCCCCTACATATTTAGATTTTTAAGAACTGCAGATACTAGAATCATCAGATACAGAATATGGAATAGCTATGTGTGTAATATTTAAAGAAATAAAAGGTACAGCCACAAAGATCACCAATGAGAGAATGTTAAGAATAAATAGGTAAGTTTGAAAACACACTGTGGAGCTTTTACAAATCAAACATAAAATTGTTAAAATCAAAACTCCAGCAGGGAGAGGCAAGATAGGGGGAGGGGATTCAGAGGTACAAACTACTAAGTATAAAATAAATAAGGATACACAGCATAACACAGAGAATATAGTCAATATTTTATACTAACTATAAATGGAATATAACTTTTAATAACTGTGAATCACTACATTGTCCACCAGATACTTATATAATATCGTGGATCAACTATACCCCAATAAAAATACATTAAAAAAGGAAACTTCAAAAACAGGTTAAACATCAAATCAGACAGGAGAGAGAATTACTACCCCGGAGGATATATATACAAATATTTTTTACTTATGTGACCACATTACTGCAATTAAGATCAAATTTGAGGCGAGGAGGGCATAGCTCAGTGGTAGAGTGGGTGCTTAGCATACAGGAGGTCCCGGGTTCAATCCCCAGAACCACCACTTAATAAATAAACAAACAAACAAACCTAATTATTTATTCCAACCAAAAAAAAAAATCAAGTTTGAAAATTGAAGAGTGTTGAGCAAAGTGATTATGAATTGTCCTGTTAGTTCATTTACACATAAAAAAAATTATAGTACTAGTAGTTTAAAAAAATAAGAGGAAATTTATCTTTCTTTACTGGAAAAATCTTTTGATAAGTAATTCCAAGACGGTTATTCAAAGACCCTTTCTTCTGGGAAAAGACACAGGTGCTGTGCACGCATGGAGCCCAGTCCAGGAAGGATGCTCCAAAGACTTCAAACAGCGGCGGCTTCTGGAGAGGAAATTGCAGTTCCACAAGGCGGGAAAGAACCGAGCGTGGCTTATGCGCCCTGCACATTCTTTTGCAGCTTTTGGATTATTTACTGGTTGGATACAGTAATCTATTCGTGCAAAGGCATTTTTGAGTTTGGGGAAAATATAAAAAGACACAAGCTGCATGGCTTTACAACAGGAAGATATCCCTAAGGAAAAATTTAAGAACAAAAGCCTAAAATTATTGGGCAATGTATTGGCCTGGACATCTTTCCTCAGAAAATTCCCTGTATATAACAGATGTGGCGCCACAGAAAATGGTTGTTTCCATATATTTACGTGAGGTGAATATCTGGGGAAATTTGGGGCACTGAGACAAAGACAATGAAACATTTGAATTTGATATACCAGATGACTTCATTTTAAGCTAACTTTCAGAAATCATCAGGCGACATCAAATTGTGGAGGTTTATTTAGCACGGGTCCCCATCCACTCTTCTGCTGCAAGGGTAATTTCCAGAAAAAGCTGGAGAAGACAGACAAAGGGATTCTGACAGAGCAGACAGAACGTATATTTTGATTTGACTTGTCAAGAGATACCATAGACCAGAGCTGCTCCTTAAATATGGTTTCTTACCCCAAAAAACAGGAAAGAAGAAACTGTATGATAAATAGAACGTTCCTCCATTGGTTGAATTCAGTAGCCTATCAACAAAAAGAAAGAAAATTAAGGTTTAGATGAAGAATATTGGTTTTAACACTCAGAACATTTTAGTACAGGAATCAGTTTCCCAAACAGAAAAAAAAAAAAAATTCAAGAATCCTAGGAAATACCAGCCATGTGACATTGGACAAATGACTTTTCCTCCCTGAATCTCAGGTTCGTTGTACAAAATGGGGATTACTTTTTTTAAAAACTTCCTCAAAAGGTCGGTGTGAGGATTCCATGAAGTTGTTTGGAACCTTGCAGGTGGCAAGCACAGAATGATACCTATTCTTGCTGTGGCTATCATTAAATCTTTAATAATTCATTAAATAGTAAAAACAAAATGTTTTAATTTCATAAAGTCAGGGTAAGGTTTACTTTTCATAAATAATCTTAGAATAAAGTTTATTATAAAATTAATAATGTTGGCAAGACAAAGAAAACTTTAAGTTCATAAACTGTTTTTAAGAATTTGCAAATGCTTAGAAAGTATTATGAACAAATAAATTATTGCCTATTTATAAAGCAATCAAGAAACTGGGATAGACAGAGGTTTCTGGAGTGGGGAGGGTATAGCTCAAGTGGTAGAGCGCATGCTTAGCATGCATGAGGTCCTGGGTTCAATCCTCAGTACCTCCTCTAAAAATAAATAAACCTAATTACCTCCCCCTCTGCCAAAATAAACTAATTAAATACAACAAAAAATAAAGCTAATTTGAAAAAAAAAAGTGTGCAAGCAAATATTAAAAGAAAAAAGACTCGGTTTCTGCTCTTAAAGTCTACCTGAGAAAATAAAATGAACCCTCTGGCAGCGACAGGTAACAATAAAAAAGAGTATCTGATTCATGATTTTTCCCTTGCCTGCACCCAAAAATGATTTTAAGGTGACTCAAGACTACATAAGAGCATGTGCTGAATAACATGATTAAATGTATGTTCTATTCACGTTCTATTAAGCAATACTTTGTTAGCCAAGTTTCAGTAACTTTATATATTTAAAGCTACTTGAATCTTTCTTGAGTTTATAATTCAAATTTTTAGGCCAACTGAAATGGAATTCTCTTCTCTGACTGGTACAACCTTGTCCCACGTTACTGTCATTGTCTCATTAGTAATACTCTGCCCACCTCCCTATGAAAAAGATACTCATTAAATATGGATACTTGCCAAAACCTGTTGATGGGTACATGGGGTTTGTTACATTGTTCTTTCTGCTTCTCAACAGGTTTGAAAGTTCCCATCATAAAACTTTTCTTTTTAACGCTTACTTGTGAAAGAAAAACATATAATAAATATCTTCAACCAATCAAAGTCAGAAAGCATGCAAGACGCTTTATGCCAAGGCAGTCAAAACTCAAAACCGAACACACTATGGAAAACACTCTGAAAAGATAAATAAAATTGGGAATAAGAGAAAAGCCACACAGCCTCAACTTCAGACCAAAGGGCGGAAAACATTTATTTAACTCAAAGAACTGGAAGTATTTCTGCAAATAGTAAATAAAAACTAGACATTCCTGATGCCACATGAAGCATGGAGGGCTGTGTAGTACTTTTCATAAAAATACTTGGATTCTTTGCCAACCTAAATTTTGACAGATTTTAGTTTTATTTTGTTCTTTAATAATGATGAAGCTGTGCTGGTGGCGTTTTTAAAAATCATGTAGCATGTTGTAGTTGGCTTTATTCCTTCGATAACTATGTAAGTTTAAAAAGCTAAAGATCTAATCTATTCTTAGAAACAATAATTAGTATACACATGTAAACTACAAAAAAGTGCAGTGTACTATATACATATATTTACATGCAATATAATGTGTATGTGCATTGAACTGTAATAATTCTACTTAATAAAACTGAAAAAGGCAAAAAGTCACGTAGCATGACATATCTTTGAAAACATACAAAATAATTAAAGATGAGTAACTATAAAGCACTTCCTTCTTTAGACTTACTTTGCTGTGAAAGTATGTTAGAATGTGAGTCTTTTTCATTCTGCATTCATGTGCTTATCAGAAAAAAAGTCCTATTAA